TTGGTTATCAACATTGAATTCTTTATTCCGTACAAAAAAAACAGGAGTTTTGATTATCAGCATTGCATATTTTTAATTTAACAAAAAGACAAGGTGATTTTGTAAACTATAAACCTCTAATTTTTTTAAAAATTTTAATTATGAAAAAGAGTCAAATTGACAAAGAAAAAAAATAACTTTGGTTATGTCTGTCTGTGTATTATTATTTTCTTTATTCAATACAACGAAACGTATGTAACACATAATAAAATGTTGATTGTGATACAATGTGATAATTGCGAATGTCGATCAATATCAAACTTCTACTATGCTATGCTATTTACTATACATCATTTTTATCACATCATATAAATATCAATGTTTTCTCCTTTAGCATAGTAGAAATTTGAAATGTTACACTAATTTTTTATATTGTGCAATGTAGCTTTACAATACACGGCAAACCTTCTGGCAATAAAAAGTAAGTGATAAACTGGATTTGAATTTGATCCGAACTTGATCTCCAATTTAGAGAGGTAACAACTATACACTGGCGAAGTTTCAGAAGCAATGAGTTCTGTACAACATTTCGTGTAACAACAAACTTCCACTATGCTTGTGTGCATGAGCATAATGGACATTTGATTTCATTGGCTAAATTTTGTGATATTTGCGATTACCCCCTTTCCAAAAGTCACACACAAAATTAATTTCTATTGGTTTAAAAATTGTTACATATTTGCATTTTTTTAACAAAGTAAATATTCTTTTTAATAAAGAACTGTTTGTTTTTTAACAAGGTTTTCTTTGTAATTAACAAAGTGACAGTCTTTCTTTGTTTTTCTAACAAGAATGAATTTTCTTCAGCATATATAACAAAAAATTGTTTATAAAAAGACAATAAATTTGTAAAATTTAACATTGAAAAAAAAAAATAATAAAATAATAATATAAATACAATCATAAACATAATATTTTAAATAATTTAAAATGTCTCCTAAAAATCCTGGTCCATGTGTTATTGAAGGTTGTGGATCCCAGGGTCCATTTAGAAAATTCACTGAAAATGCCAAAAATAATTCTATAATATATAAAACACATGAAACTTATAATTACCTTCAAATTAATGATCAATTATGTCAATCACATTATTTATTAATTGTAGAGCCATATAGAGGAAGAGATGCTGGTAAAAAACGAAGATCAGAAGAACTTGATGTAATCTATATTGTTGAAGATGTGGAATTATTTCATATTTTGGAAGATTCAACTGATGATATTGAAGCAAATTTTGATTATTGGTCAGATATAAAAGTTAAACGTCATGAAGATAATGTGACTTTATCAAATGAAGATTTTGCTCTTCTAGTAAAAAAAATAAAAAAGATGCAAGAAAAATTATGTAGATATGAAAATAAATTAAATGAATTTCATGAGAAAATTAAATTATTATCTAATGTCCTATATCAAAGACAAAGGCAATTAAATTTAGATATTGAGTTAGACCCTGAAAATTTTAAAAATATGATTGAACAACATAACCAAAAATTAAAGGGTTTTTTTGATGAATTAGTAAATATTTTTTTACCTTCTAATAGATCCACATATAATATAGAAAATGCCAAAAAATCACTTGTTGGATTTTGTTATTTATTAGTTGGTCTAAGTAATAAATTTAATAATTCCCTCCAATTAGAAATTGGCCTTTATTTATCTTCATGTGGAGCAACCACAGAATGCATTGATGTGATGGCAAGACTTGGTATTTCAGTATCATACAAGACAGTAGAAAGATATAAGAAAAAGATTGCAAGTAGACATCTAGAAAAAATAAATAAGTATTTTGAAGAAAATAAAAATAAATTATTTTGCTTCAATATTGATGATTACCATTCAATTCATAGCTTTAGACAACCAAACACGACAACACTTTCAACAGCTTTTCATATGGCTACTTGTGTTTCTAAAACTGTGAAAGATAGTGTAGCTGTATTGGCAGTTAGTAATGATGTTCCAATACATAATCCTGCAAATATTGAAGATTGGCGCATTAATTTTTATTTAATAAATGAATACATTGATTCATTAAGTAATAGTTACAATTCAGTAAAATTAAGTTGGCTAAAAAATAATGCAAATACCTTTAAAACATTTGATAGGCTAGAACTTTTAAGAATCCATTCATATGATGATGCTATAGAGGAACGTCAAAATGATAGATCTATGATGGACTGCCACTTAATTAATATAAAAGAACAAAATCTTAAAAATTTAAATGATTATTTAAATGTTCTTAAGATGATTATAGAGATATCTTCATTGAATGATTACCTCCAACATTATGTTATACCAGTTGTTGCTGATTTTCCAGGTCAACTATTTATAAGAAGAGCAATAACTTTGTTTCATAAACAAAAAAATGGGGAAAATGTTTCAACACAGATACCTGAATTTATTAATAATTTTATCCCAATACTTGGTCCATTACATGTATCATTGAATATGAGAGAAGATATTGTAGCATCAGTTCACTGGAAATTTTTTGAAAAAATGTTTAAATCAGTTTTTGGTAAAAAAAAAATATTGGCAAAAAAACCTAAACCTACCAGAATCAATATGCTTTTAGAACTTGCAAGTTCAGGGTGGAAAGAGATTGCAAAAGAGATATTTTGCAAATTTGGCCCACTTTGTAAAGATGTAGAATTCCAAACATTAATAGATCTCTTGGATAATTTAATACCTGCTGCTTTAGATATCTACAGTATAATCTTTCGTTCAGGCTCTTGTGATCAGTATGTAGATACAATCTTCAGATTGTGGACATTTGCATTAAGGTGGAATAGAAAAAATTATAATAAAATCCCATTAGCATTCCTTTCTGATTATTTCTATTGGAAAGATAAAAAACACCCATTTTTCGAAGAAATTCAAACTCACCTCGTTAATTTTAATGATTACTATGTTGAAAATTGGCATAGTAAAATTAGAAGAAACACAAGTCCACATCATTCTTCTGAAGCCATAATTTCTCAGGCATATGTATTAGAGTCCAATGAACAGACATTCTTTAACTTGTTTAGAAAATTTAAAAGTTGTCCATATAAAGAATCCACCATAGATTATTTAAAATATAAAACTAGTATATTTTTAATCAATTATTTTCATCTAATTTATAAAAATATGGGAAAAAGTAGAAAGGTTAAAAAGAATGAGTATCATCTTGCAACATTAAATGAAGATGTAAAATTACAATGCTTACCAGCTGGATATCATAGTTCTAAATCACCATCTAATGATAGCTGTGACTATTGTAATCGAAGATTTGAAATTAATGATGAACATGAAGGTATAATGTTAATATGTGGTCATGCTTACCATCATAGATGTTTTGGAGAAAAAAAAAACAGGTGTAATTATTGTTTGGAATTTTATAAAAAGGGCATTGTCTCAAATGTAAAATCTTATATAAATAGATTAGAAAAAGATGATGCTGTTAATAATGAATTATTGCTTCATGAAACATCAAATGAAGAGAATGAAGAAGATGATGATAATGATGAGTATGAAGTAAATGAAAATGATAAAATATCATTAGATTTTAGAAATGCCTTAGAATCAATAAAAACTTGGTGATTCATAAATTTTATGTAAAAAGTGAAATTACTTACATTAACACGTCTAAATAGAATGAAGAGGCCTTAAACATTTGCTTCTAATAAAATTTTCGTGCCTCACAATTGGCAATCATGAATAGAAAAAAAGGAATAATTTTTATTAGTTACATTGCCAATAATAATAAAAACAATATATAAAAAAGTAAAAAAATAAAAGTTGCCAAGTTGACAGGTTTAAATAGATCACGGAAACCTTAAACTTTCATTTCTAATACAACCTACTTAAATCCACTTGATCAACTTGATCGGGTATTGCCAGAATGTAAAGAAAAGTTGAAAATATATATAAACGTAAAAAAATGTGTGTGTTTCATAAAATGGGTTTTGTGCGCAGTCACGAGACTATTTCTATTCTAAACTCAATTGAAATAGCATGTTTCACAATATAAAAAAGATCAATGATCGATTTTGTCACAAAGTGATAAAACGAATGTCCATTATGCTTTTTAGACCAGCATAGTGGAAGTTTGTTGTTACACGAAATGTCATACAGAACTCATTGCTCCTGAAGCTTCACCAGTGTATAGTTGTTACCTCTCTAAATTGGAGATCAAGTTCAGATCCAATTCAAATCCAGTTTATCACTTACTTTTTATTGCCAGAATGTTTGCCGTGTATTGTAAAGCTACGTTGCACAATATAAAAAATTAGTGTAACATTTCAAATTTCCACTATGCTTTTTAGACCAAGTCAGAATCATCATGTTCATAATAATCTTTTAATTATTGATCTAATAATTAATACTTCCTAACACCTTGTAATAATAATATTATTATCACTAATAAAACACATAACATATTTTACCCTAAAATAATAATCTCTAAATAATTAATAAACTACAAAGGGTAAACCTTTGCTGTACTTAGCAAGTAATCAACATTCTAATCATTGAGAAACATCTCAAGGGGACGCCTTTGGGATATAATTATATCTATAGAACCTAGGGACCCTTTTATCCAAGAGGATAAAAGTTATATTTTTATTAATTTTTGACTGTAAGTCAGCAAGTAGGCTGTGTGTCATATATATAAATAAAGGAAATTGACCATAAGTCAGCAAGTAGGCTGTGTGTCAAACAATAGAATCAACTGTAAGTCAGTGAGGAGGCTGTGTGTTGAACTATAAATAACCTATTAATTAGGAAACTCAGATTGCATGCTCACAGTATATACCTTGTCAAAACTATGACAATTGACAAAACCCCCAAATGTGAAACTCTGCTGAAACTCTAACTAACAATTAATGTGTAACCTGTCAAAACTCTGTTGATTGATTTCTGGAGGAGTTTTGCCCACAACCTTACTGTATATATACACTTGAATCAACTTTAAATTCATTTGATTCCATTCAAAGCTAAATTTCTCTCACTCTAATTAAATTATTTCAGTCAGGGAATATGCTAAATTTGGAAATCGATTCTGGAAAAATTCGAACCCCCCTCATCGATCAATTCATATGTGTTGCAAATGAGTTTACGTGATGCTTCCATAATATGTAAACAAAAAATTTTTTTTAATAAAATTCATAAATAAAAGTCAAAACAAATTCTTCTGAATATAAAC